GTCTTACTTGACTTAGATGAGTCCACGTGTTCATTTCTGAACAATTGCCATGATCCCAACGCTCTTTCCTTGACATCTCTTCCCGATTCTGATTTCGAGGAAGGATATGTAGAGGGAAATTGGCCAGATCGATCCTCTGTCGAAACGTGATCATATGTTTTCTGGGTTGGCGTTTTCCCGCTATTGATGCTCCGAATGATAATGCGATTATTTTTTTGAGATTGACTTTCCAAGAGACGTTTATAGTTTTCGGGCACATGTCCTTTTGGTCTATGGGTTGTAAGATGTTTATCCAATTTGCAATCTGTTCCAAGTGTTTGCGTAAAAATATCTTTGGCTTCATAAACTTTTTCGTTCTGCGCTTCTTTGTCTTCTTTTTCTTCTTTCTGCTTGGAAGAGAATCCTTCGTATATAGATAAAGTAAAAAGTCCGTATTTATCGTTATCATCATAGACCCGAGCATACTTAACACTGAAATTGGGCGTTGATCGTGACCTACGGGGTGGATTGCGTTGTTGATTCTGATGTAGAACATCAAAGAGTATAAACGTCATGATTTTGTCATAAGAAATAAAACCTTTGAGAAGTACCTGAAATGACGGAAAAACGTATTGTAGAGATCCAGTTCTCCGCATTTTTGAGCCATTAAATAGATTTCTCTGCAAATCTAAAAAAAAAGAATATTTATAAAGAAGCTTTTAGAGAGAGAGAGATAGATAGATAGATAGATAGAGAGTGTGTGTTATTCATAAATTAGTAAACAAAAAAAAGCTAAGACTTACCTCGTTCACCGTCCATCTCCGTTTGAGACGAGGATAGGGCATTAAAAGTGGGGAAAGTAGAGTTACTCATATTTATCATAACTTTCATCGTGAGAATATTTAACAAGAACTTTTGAAAGAGCGAACGGCGGTATTTAAAAATTGACGATTAAAATTTTCTTTTACTGATATCAGCATGTGACTTAATCATATAAAATTGGTATGATGACTGATCTATCTATAGAAACATTATGGTCATAATCTTATTTTGCGTACGATAAGAAAAACCCCTTCACTGAGAAATTCATAACGAACAATCGGAAAATATTGTGCAATACTTGGTTCTGGTTTACAATCTAATACCAAATTTTTTCGCCAGGAATTCCAAGGACCTTATTAATATCACGAGAGGAAACTACATAATTTTCGAAGGAACTTTATTATTTCTGATATTGCATGTGTATAAGTATGTCTGGCGACCATTTTTATTTTACCCAGGATAATCGATGCTTAAGATAAAATGAAAGCAGATGTTAGTGTTGGGATAGGTAGTTTAGATTAACGAAATTTGTTCTGCGTGCATCAGTATAAAAACACCGTTTCAACCTACAAAGGCAAGAATTAATATTTATTTGCATGCTCACATTGGGCTCGCGATTTTTAGTATGTATACAATGTGATATCAGAGATCAATTTTTTGTATAATTCTGGATGAACAAAATTATAATAGAAAAAAAAATAATAGTAAATCGCAAAACATTTAAAGTTTTGAGTTTATTTATGAGACCCAACTCTCGAAGCTGATTTGGGATAATTACGTATGGGTCCTCATAATACCAAACGTATTAGAGCAATGCAGAGTTCTTTTTTGATCTGGTCACTCATCAACTGCTTTTGAAATTCTTCCGGATATTTGTGAAAATACTTTATATGTTGCTTATGCTGTTTACCTTGTACTTCTATAGCAAATATGTACTGTGGATAGTAGATGTCGAGTTCTAGTCCTCGAGGATGTTCAGGTACTTTCAAGAAATCTGGTCGGCGGATGCTAGAAGGTGGGCCAAGAATGTTAGTTATGACTCGCGACATAGATTTTCATGTTGCACCATGTTTTATACAATTAAAACTTGAAAACCATTTATGACCCTTATTACACATCCATTGCATCGGAACACAGAGATTTATATATTCTGTAGAAAGACACATACATCATCTACTGTGAGCGATTTCCTCAGCTTAAGAAAGACCACAAGGACTATTATCAGCACATTGTGAGAACCATCTTCCCATAATTTTTACTCGATAAAAAGTTGTAGACCATTCGTGACCTTTGGCACATCTCCAAAGCATCGGGGTATCTGTATTAACATATTCTGTAGAAAGGCAATTACCACCTCGTTCTTGAGCAATATTATTAGCTATATCAATATTGAATCGTCGCTGACTACATTTTCGGTGCTGTGTGTCATGTCTTTTGGTAGGGTACATTCTTGTTCTAGTGTAATATGTTCTTGTACTATAGCATGTTTTCTACCTGGTGTACTACAATTTCGACACCAAGTCCCCTTAAGAATATCCTTTGCTGAAGCTTTCTACTTAATTTCTTTACATTGCTATTCAAGAGGATCCCGTCTATTAACATACTCAGGCAAAGTCTTCCTTTCTTTTTTGCAATCTTCCTCATATCTTCAATCGTTCGAGTACAACGATTTTCAACTGAACACCACGGGCACCATGTTTTTTTCATTCTTTATACTAGTAAGCTTACAGACCATAAATGATCCTTAGCACATTTCCAAAACTTTGGCATCTGACAATTGATATATATTTAGAAATGCATTCACCTCCTATACTACGTGCAATCTCATTAGTAACATCCAAAGTTAATTTTGCCATTAATATTTTACACTAAATTTCAAAAGGCTGGCGGAAAGCATGATATTATTTCATTTTGTGCATTATTCCTTCCTTTAAACGTGAAATACTCCAATACCTTTATTAGTTTCATTTTTTACTTAGTCAGCTGACCTTTCTCACATTTATTTTACAAAAATATAATAAAATGTGTTTTTTTTAAGTGATAAAAATATAAAATTTACTATTTACTAAGTCATTAAAACTCTATTTTACTCTAATGAAAAAAACTTATTCTTGTTGTTCATCTGATCCTCCGCCGTAATTGATTGTAACATTAGTCACAATCGCATTTTGCGAAAAAGAAGAGATGATGGGGATTACAGGTTTAGAGATATTAGGTGTTTCAACTGTTGATGGTGTTTTGACAGATTTTACGGGTGATGATGTTGAATTAGAGGGTGATGGTCTTGGTATTCTCGATGGTTGACCTCTTCTCGTTTAGAATGAGGGGACTCCTTGGTAACTTTTGAAGATGATTTTATAAAAGAAAAACTCGTTCCACTTACCCTAACATTTTCATTATGTACCTGCTCGAATGGGAGTTTTAGCAAATATATTCGTGTTGTTTTCGAGACTGGGAAGAGAACCACCCACTTATTTTCTTCAAAAAGAATTATCTGGTTTTAGCCAGAACTGGGTAAAAATTCCTCATAAATTTTTTCCTCCTTTTCGTCCCAGCACCTTCTCCATATCTTTGAGCTGTCTAATGGATGATATTAATAAGTATATTTATTACCTAGATTCCTCGGAAGCACTACTTACTTTAAATTTCGTAAGGTATGTGAACTTTTTATGAGAAGTTATCTATTCATCACCCTTATATTGTTATTAAAAAATGTCAACTGGCTCAGAGGAGGAATTGGTTATGTACATTCTATGCTAGCACTCAATCTCTCATGATAGGTCGAACATGAACAAATGGTAATTCATACTGGTAGGTGATCTTATATAATAAAATAAAGAAACCAACCTGCATCTAATGGTAAAGAAGGATAAATTATCATCACTGAAATAAATTTATTTGTTATTAATGTTCATGTCACCTTTCGACATTAATGATTCTTTTCAGAGCCATAGAACACAAACATTTGCAGACGAATGCAGCCAGGATGGTTTATGTAAGATTATTTTTTACTAAGATTCTTAAATTTCTCATTCTTTTCCTTTAATAATTGTACTAGTCTTGTTTGCCTTTATGGGCGTGTGATCTAAAGATGTTGTTCTCAAATCTAAATAAAAATATGCAAAATAGCTTTGACATATAGAAACGTTTTAGCATGTCGTTAGTAAAAGATAATCGAATATTAGTCTAATTATAAGAATGAAAAATACCTCTTGCGAATATTGTCTCTGTACCCGTTTCTGAAAACCAAACGTAGCTGGCTTTTTTGAGGCTTTCGTTCCTCACAGAAAAAGTTGTCTTGGTTGCAGATACGTTCAAGTTTTCGTCCTTAGGCCAATAATTCCTAAAGGATGGTTGATGTCTATAAAGGTAATGAAAATTCTAAAAAATAATCGATCGGATTTTCGGATAGTTTGATGATACATTAATAAATGTTCGAAATTTTTAACGGAAATTGAGAATTTTAATTTTGCAAATGTGATTTCAAAATTAGTAATAATCCCAGAATTCCTTTCAACTCTAAAACAAAATGGGCACTAACAAATAATAAGACGAAAAAATGACACGGGCGAGAAACTTTATATATTAAATGAGCAAACACAAACTAAGTTCTGTATTATCATGGGTAAGGCACTCATAAAAATATGACGAAGTATGAGTTTATTCTTCAAAAGGACAACAAAAAATGTAACTCGTTATTAAGGAGCTGGCTTTAACATTTTTTTTTATTGAAAATATAATGATTGTAAGAGAGGTATTTAAAGTACTGTATTTATCATTAAAAGTTTCGAAAAATCGAAAAAAAACCACTTTAATAAAATGAAAACTACTATTTTAAAGTATTATAATCAGCAAATAATTTATTTGATATAGAATTTCTAATATAAATTAGTAATTTCTTCCCTTAAACACGTTGACAAATGATTACTTTAACTTTAATTCATTAATCATACTTCAAGGCAGGACAATAGATGATATCGGGGAGGTATAACGAACATATTAAAGCAGATCAAAATTAAAAATTACTGATTTTTCACGAAGGCGTGGTAAACATTTCCATTTTCATTTTGTGTACAAATAATATCGTGTTCACCCCTTCTGGGTGACCGATATTTTACCCCAACCAATAACTATTACTGTAATCAACGACGACCTCCGATAAATATTCTGAATATCATATTTCATAATAACTCGTGAAATCACTTTTTATATAGAAAGATTGATGAAATTTGTATTTATAAACAAGAATTTATATATTAGATACCAATTTTAATTCTCCTGTCTCTTGTTTTTATAAGAAGTTTTTACAAAAAAGCAAAATGTCTAACACAAAAATTTGTGAAATAATTAATAGTCTCGGTTTTACTGACAAGGAAAAGACAACTTACATTCTTACTTTTATAAATCTTCTAATGAAATAGATGAAGTTTTAAGTTTTCTTGATACTTGCCAAATGCCTGAAGCGAAACTTGACTATAAAGGAGACTTTCTTGAAGACCATTATGTTCAAAAGTTACGTGACAACTTTTTATTATTCGGTACTCATTAACTAACTTTGTCATTTTTGGTCTCCTAATCATTTAGATGAACATCGATGTAAACCTTTGCGTCGTATTTATTAATTAGTCAACACGGACGTGACACGGGACCTTGCGCTATATTTTCGTTTGTAAACTAAAAAATTATCATTTATTGCCTCTTTGATTGATTCGCCCATCCCTATCATGCCTTTATGCACAATTAGAGCAATAACCGTCAAGAAAGAGAAAAAACAATTATTCTATTGAACTCGATTGTCCTATTATATCGACCGAAAGACCAATTTTCCATTACAGTGGCAGTTCGCGCTTCCCATATACGAACGACAAATTTTTCACATTGTATAGCGGAATGTTCCATGAAAAGTTTTATATCATCCATGGACCATATCATAGTGGCAAGACCTCTTATTTAATTGCGCTCAAGGAGTCACTCATTAAGAACATAGTTCCTGCGCATTTCGACATGCTTGACTTAAAGAGCACGGGATTCGATATGGGAAACGGGCAGGATTGTTCAATTTATTTATATTATCACCTCTTTGGGAAAATCATTAACGAATTAGAGATCGATAAATACCTGAATTCACTTAAAGATCGTTTATATCTTCTTATAGACGAGTTCCAGTGTATCTTCGAATCCCAGGTATTCCAGATGGCGGCAAGTGATTTCTTTAAAACTCTCTCTATCAAAAAAAGTTACCTATGTTTGTGTGGGCACTTTTAGAGTCTTATATTTGCTGTACGATAATGAATAAAACCCACTTGAATCTCTTTTAATAAAGCCACCTTAATCCCTAGGTTATTCTTCACATTTGAAGAGATGGGCAAACTCTTTCTATTATATGAAACGTTTTTTGATGAGAGTATACCGAGGGATTTGCAGACAATCATTGCACGCGAGTCCTTCGGACATCCGGCATCTTTTATGATTCTATTGAGGTTCCTTCACAATTTTCGGGAGGACTCATCAGCCGCATGGAGCCTTGTATTGAAGAAAAACCTTGAACATTACCCGAGTGGGACCATATAAAGATTAAGGAAGTATTGCGAAATATGGATCCTATGTCCGTGATCTCACAACAGTTAAAGATGAATCTTGAAAAATGGATTTATCTAACCTTAGCGAGATTGACAAATTTTTCATTCTCGTCCCCTTAACCAAAAAGAAAGTAGGAGTTTTCACAAATACAGTTTCTTTCACTATCAATGTCATTTTTGGTGTTGTCTTCCAAATGGTCTGGCCGCAAAGGAAAATTTTGTCAATACAAGACGTGACAGACCCTCTATCCCTGTTAACATATGCATTACACATTATCACACCGGCAACAATCGTAGACGCACGAATAAGAACCTACATAGCCCATCGGAAAAAGCCTTTCAAGCTGCGGTTTATTGTGCCATAAATGTGCTATTACCGGCATCAATGAATTGCTTGTTCGAAGTAAAAATCCGGGCTCATGAAGCTCTTGATTTGATGGTAACTAAAGAT